AATCCGCCGTCGTCTTCTGGTGAAACCGACTTTCGAATCTCTTCACCCAACACTTTCACTCGAAATGGAAATAAGCTCAATAATTATGAAATGAGAAATTCCTCGAAACCCAACTTTTCTTCGCATAAAATAAAAGTTTGCCTCAGTTATAATCCCACTATAAAATTGATGTGGATAAGGCTTAGCTTGACTTAAAATTCACATCTGTCATGTGACCCACAAGGCCCTTTGAAATGTGGCGTAATGATAGTATGTCGAAATTACACGCTGCACTGATAGAATATGATTCCAGTTTAAAGTGATGATATGATCAAGATGTGGTTAAAACAGCAGTCCAGTCTAAAAGAGAATACATATTGGGGAGTAAAGTTAAGGCAAATTCAAAGGCATCTGCTCATAGCATTGTGGAAAAATTCAACCATCAAAACTTCGTCACTTCATTCAGCAGGGTGACAATAATTCTTATAAAATAAATACGAATAATAAGAACTCACCCTGCATTACACTATTGAACATTTTGATCGTCCTTATTCCTGAGGCTGCAGTAGGTTCGCACTGGTTGGTCGCCAATACCGATTCTACTTTAAATAATTCGGTAGAGACCGTTAATCCCTGACCTTCAGGCTCCAGCGAGGACTGTGAATCTATGTTCTGCTCTGGCAGAAGAGAGAATTTTTCAAGTTTAGATTTCGAATCGGGAGTTGACTCGGATGTAGATGTTAGAGAAGAAATAAAATCCTCACTAAATTTAATTGGCATATCGGTAGGTGGCTTTGATATCTGTGAAGTTAGATGGCAGTCAAGCGAAGAACCAACATAATGCAAAGTACTAGCCATTCGCCAAAGGTGTCCTGAGTAGCCAGGTTTGGGACGGCGAGAGGAGGCACGCAGGCACCAACTTGGGTCAAATTGGCTTTCAGTGGGTCTAAATGAAGGAAATGGAAAAAAAATCATATTGCAAAAAATTAACGATTGGAAATTGAGTCTCATTGTGGAGTCCTACACTTGAGCAAAAATTAAACATTTATACTTAAATAACAGTAAGAATAAAGGGCGACGTCTATCCCGGAAACAAACTAAGTCTATGAAGGCATAGATACTTTGGTGTTGGCTGGACATCGTATTCATTTTCGCTGGATTGACGAGGAAACCTTGTAGAACAAACTTAATTAAGCAATTACTTCCATAATATTCGTGATAATTTCCAGCATCATAGCGTTGGCCTGGCACATTACAAAACGTTCTCGGTGTCGTCAGTTAGAAACTCCATTCTTAGCATAGAGTTACAACTTAGCACTTAGATAGTGATTTATATGATATTATCTGCATTTAGGATAAAGAAATTCTGAGTTGCTTAGATTAGTTAGTGTATAAATTAAGAAACTCGAAATCGCGCATACTCAAGCCTAATTTCATTATGGCCCAAAATAGAAGAAGTGTTTTATTAAAGCTTTTCATATAACATTATAAGAAATAAACAAGAATTTATAAGTGTATTACACGAAAAAAAAAGGTTTTGAGATATCGAACAATTATGCTGGCTAACTGACCTCTCAGAAGGAATCGGTATCAAACGAGTCAACCAAGCAGGTAACCCGGTATCCCCCAGAAGCAGATAGCGGAGACCAGATAAAATGCGTTGATCTTTATCGGCAATAGACATATCTTTAATCGAGGCATCCAAAAATTCAGACTTTAATATATCATTTACAAATGATGGAGGCGTTGCGGTAGATTTCTCTGTAGATTGCTCCTCTTCCTTCAGATCAGATTTGTCCTCTCTGGGATTTGTTAAATATGTCTTGAACAAGTCTGATTCATCTGAAGGTTTAACAGGATTAATTTCAAAGCAGTCTCCCTTTGTTATGGTATTATCTGGTCCCCTGGAAGTGGTCGAGATGCCCTCTGCTTCAGAAGTTAGAGCAGAATCGTCCGAGCCGAAAATCGGAAGGTTGTTAGCAGTGCTGACATTGCAAGTTATTGTGCTTTGTTGGTAAGAGCCAAACGAAATGCGAGGTTGTGGACCGATTAGTTGGTATAGCAGACAATCAGTGATCCCAACAACGGCCTGATGTAAAAAGGAGTTCCAGGGATATGTTTCAAAAAGGCCCTGTTTAAAAGGCAAATGAATGGAAGAGTATGATAGCAATAGTGGAGGGCGACACAAAATAGAATAAAGTGGCTTTGGACACAATTAAGTGGATAGCTATAGAAAATATGGCTATATAATAATTAAGTTCAATGCATTGATGACTGGCGCCCGTAGTTACGGAAGATGTGGCTGTGTAAAACCTAGAATTGTCGGCAATAAAAGACCTTTTTCAATAACCAAAAAACATATATATATATATATATATATGTCTGAATAAAAAAATGACAATTTATTGTAATACTGAAAGAGCTAATATGTGAACCATAGATTCAATTTTTTGTTATTTTAAACAGGATAAAATATTATAAGCCAATATTGGCTGATTACTTCCAAAAAGTGAACTGGGCTCCAAGCCAAACTGAATGATGATAGCAAAAGAGGCCCCAAAACTCAGTTTAAGAGCGTCCGTTTAATAAAACGTAATTGTTTCTGTTCAAGCCTGCAACATTGTGAATATTTTTTGAGCCTGTAATGCATCATACTTATTTAGTGTAGGAAACACCATAACTTTAACAAATTTCATGATAGAGCACCGCAAAATGAATAAATTCCTAATTCACGATCTCAAAGGCTTATCGAAGGTAGTTTTGAATTATGAAAAGTTCCGAACAACATAAATGATTATTGACTTG